ATATATATATTCAAAAAACTGATAATGATTACATCTTTCTTTCAGTCTTCTACTGTTTACCACTTTAATAGTGTCGAACAATAAACTAGCTAGCTATTCAGGTTTTAAGAGAAGAAATGCACATTTGTAGAACAATCATTGGAAATCTATTTTACCCATGTAAAACTGTAACTATTTCATTGGAATGAAATTGAACTTTAGAAATGAACTGACTAGTGAGATATCTATTTTTACTGTCTCCCAGAGAAATAAAACTATATTAGGAACATAGACATTTTTATATCTTATTCCCTTCACTTTAGCTTTGTTATTGTTATTATTATTGTTATTGTTATTTATGGTGCTAGAACTGAGCCCAGCATCTTAGGCATGCTAGGTAAACATTCTACTAATGAGCTATATTCTTTTATTTCTTTTTCAGGAGCAGGCTTGACTACTTTAGAGGCCAGTTATGAGGAGCTTGGATTTCCAAGCATATCACCAAAGGTAGAAGATATGTATATAGAAAATGATCCTGGAGGGCTGGGAAGGTGGCTCAGTGGTAGAGTGCTTGCCTGCATGCATGAGGCCCTGGGTTCAATTCCTCAGTACCACATAAGCAGAAAAAAGCTGGAAATAGAACTGTTGTTCAAGTGGTAGGGTGCTAGCCTTGAGCTGAAGAACTGAGGGACAGCACCCAGGCCCCTACAACTGACAAAAAAGAAGAAAAAAAAAGAAGTGATAGAAAATGACCCTGGATTTTCAATATAGACAGTTTTATAAGAAATGAAATTCTAGATTTAAAAACATACTTTAGGATTTTTCTTTGGAGCCTCTCACTTTTTAGAGGCTCATTACTTTCAAATAAACTTACTTTACTATATAAAAAGTCATGAAAGTAAAGTGTGTGTACAAAAAAATATAGCAAAGTATATATATATTATATTATATGTTTTATATCTATATCTATCTATCTATATATATCTATAGTGGATACACAAAGACTCTTTCAAAACCAGAAATGCCTTAGCTTTGTCATTATTCTTCATTTAGCTGAGGATTCAGGACATTACAGATCTGTAAATATTTGAAGAGTTAGAGCTTTCCTCCTCTGATCTGTCAGAGCTGAGACAGCAATATTAAGGCTGCTGTGAGTTATGCTTTTGCTGTAACTCAGCTTTTAATTTTCTTTTTCTAGCTGATGTCTACATATTGCAGTTTGTATTTTAATTGATATATTAATTCTATAGAACAGCTTGTTTCATTGTGACATTTTCACATATGTCTTGTCTCTATTATTTTGTCTTCCCTTCCCCCAAGTCCTTTCCTGTAGCAAATTAACTGTCTTCACCTTTTAGCATTAGAATTCAGTTAATATTGACTGTAACTGGCTGACAGTAATTGTAATACATCTTAGTTTTTACAGTTGACACAGAAGCCTTAATTTTATATGGAAATTAATGTTACTGATTTAAGTGAAATGATTGCTTCACACTAACTTTTATTCTAAATTAGATTCTCTATGTAGTCTCACAAGAATTCTGTCAAATCTCTTTTCTTTCTTACAAGACAGAGTTATTTTTGTATTCATTTCTTCTTTTAGGGAGCAACCAGTGTTATGGCAGATAACGCTATTCTTCCTGAATGTAATAAAAAAGGTAAAAAAATCTTTTCTTTAAAGTGTGCTTTTATGCAGGTGAATTTAGAGGAGGAAATGTCCAAATAACACCTAAGGGTAAGTCAGGTTTAGTATAAAACTTTCATATATGTGAAAATACTTTCAATTTTGATTGATATAGTTCTAATAGATGTTAAGAATCCATTGACTAGGCTGGGCATCAGTAGCTCACACCTGTAACTCAGAAGGCTGAGAACTGAGGATCTGGATTCAAAGTCAGCCACAGAAGAAAAGTCTGTGAGATTCCATCTCAATTAACCACCAAAAAACCAGAAGTGGAGGTGTTACTTAAGTGCTAGAGCTCTAGCCTTGAGTAGAAAAAGCTAAGGGACAGCACTGAGACGCTGAGTTCAAACACCAGCACTGGCATGTGTACACAAAAAGATTATAAATTTGCAAATTTTGCCATAACATAAGAGAGACTTTCCTTGTTAGTAAAACTTACCATTTTTGCCAGGTGCCAGTGACTCAAGCCTGATATCCTAGCTACCGAAGAGGCTCAGATGAAAAGATTGAGGTTCTAAACCAACCTGGCAGGAAAGTCCATGAGACTCCTATTTCCAATTAACCACCAAAAGGTGGGAAGTAGCGCTGTGGCTCAACTGGTAGAAGACTAGCCTTGAGTAAAATAGCTCAGGGACAACTCAGAACCTGAGTTCAAGCCCCAGGACTGGAATGATAAAAGACTAAAAGTAATTTGCCACTTTTTATATATCATAAGAAAACTTTTAAACTTATCTTGGGTCTTGTTTAACTGTACAAATTGTTTCAGCAAAGATCTTTTGAGATACTTATATTACAGTGTTGAAGGTCTATATGAAATCTGTATTTTCCAAATTAACTTCCCTAATTTATTAGTAGGAAGAATAATTGGGTCCCACTAGGAGGCAGTCTGATAAAAAATTAAACACTGTTGAAGATTACCTTACCTATGTTTTGCCCCAAGATCTGATGCTCCTTTGAAATTAGATAAATTATATAAGATTTGGTTCCTTAGGATACTGAGTGTGTCTTTAGAGAATATTTTATTTTGACTATGAAAACACAGACAAAATTGGGCTCTGAAGGATGAAGCCAAGGGTTTTTTAAATGTTGTTATTGTCATTATTGTTTGTTTTTGAGGAAGATTGCTTGTTAATTTGTTAATTTGTATTTTATTATCCTTAAATACTTTTCCCCAATCTCTACTTTAGGTGATTTTTTTTAAAGCAGAAGCAACTGCTAGTCTTCTCAGAGAAAATCAGTTAGGCAGTTGGAGGCTTTGGCTCATGAAAAGTATCTCTTTAAGTCAAGCTTGGAGAATATTGTGCATTTTTAACATGAATTCTCTTTCCAGAGTTTGTCCTTCCATCCTTCCCTCCTACCTTCTTTCCTTCCTTCCTTTTTTCTTTCTTTTCCTTTTATTTTCTTCTTTCCTTCCTTTTTCTTTCTTTTCCTCTTTCCTTCTTTTTCTTTCTTCCTCCATTCCTTTCCTTTTTCTTTCTTCATTTTGGTCTTTCTCCTTCCTTCCTTCCTTCCTTCCTTCCTTCCTTCCTTCCTTCTTTCCTTTCTTCCTCCTTCCTTTCTTCTGAAGCTATTTTAAGGTCACAGCCGATCAGCAGTGATGTATTGACCTAATGAGAAAGAAACAAAATCTTGGAATCATCTCTTTGGCTGATCTCTTAGAGAGGTAATAAAAATCATAATACTAGTGCTTAGAGATCTAAAAATCCATTTTCTGTGTGAAATGACAGAACCGGATCCAGATAAATATACAGAGAACACATCACATGCTGGACTTCATTTGGGTTCAGGACACTCCTCTATAGAGGAGTCTATTCACTTTTAATGGGCTCTGAAGTTTAGTTACAATAGTGATATTGGTTCTTAGTGATTTGTCATCTCCCTATTTTCCTTCCTAAGGACTATTACTAAAACCTTCCATCAGCTTCCAGAATATCATAGATGGAACCAAAAATTTCCATGAAGACTTCCTAATCGGTGAAGAGGAGCTTTTTGAGGTTTACAAAGTGAAGATTCAAAGCCGTACATATGCCATTAAATTATTTAAACAGGTACGGAAAGACTTACTATCACAGGATATACAGTCCATTTATTTGCTCATATTTCACATTTAAATGCACCATTTTTCATCAACGTTGAGAAGAGGTATATTTGAAAATAAAATTTCACAAATGGAAATAAGACATGATCTCAGTTGCCTAGAGAAATGAAAAATGACTGTGTGAATGTAGAAACTAATTTCTTCCCATCCCCAGATGTATTGCATGTAAAAGACTGTTCCAGAAGCTGATCTCTGGTCTCCAGAACTTAGCTGAAGAGGATCAGGTTGTGCTGTACTTCAGAGGAGCTCTGTCCTTCCAGGCAGTGTCCTGTTGGCATTAACAGGGTAGTGTAGCAAATTGCACATTTTCTATCATAGAAATTGTCTTCTCTCACAGTTCATGAAGATAGGAAAAAAGGAAGTTTCAAGCAGGGGTGTGTTAGTTTTTCATTACTGTGACAAATACCTGAGAAAATCAGTTTAATAAAGGGGCAGTTCATTTTGGCTGGCAGTTTCAGGGGTTTCAGCCCATTGTCAGCTGGCTGCATTGCTTTGGAGCCTGTGGTGGGGAAGAACAGTTTGGAAGGGCACAGTAGAAGGAGTCTGCTCAACTCAAGTGAAGCCAGGAAGCAGAAGAGATACAGCCAGGGGCAACAGACTGTGTGCATCTTTCTGTGGCATTCTTCTAGGGATCTGTTTTCTCCAACTGGGTTCACATCCTTCTTCCCTGCAACTCACAGTAAAAAATACCATCATATGATGTACTCATCAAGGTACTACTCCTTTGATGAAGTCAGATTCTTCGTGGGCCAATGGCTTCCCCAAATCCCTATCTCTTAATATTGCTGCAATGGGAACCAAATTTTTAACACAGGAGTTTTTAGTGGACACTTCATCTCCAAACTATAACAAGGTTATGGAAACTACAAGCCATTAATAGAGTAGTGTAGCAACTTACAAATGTGAACATTATAGTGGTGGGTGGCTGAAGCCTAGGAGCATACTTAGTGTCACTCTTTCATGGTAGAATTTAGCAACCTGAGATCTAGGAACATGCGTGGACTTAACTCTGTCCACATTAAAAAATATACGTCAGGCCAGGCGCGCTGGCTCACACCTGTAATCCTAACTACTCAGGAGGCTGAGATCTGAGGATTGCGGTTCAAAGCCAGCCCAAGCAGGAAAGTCAGTGAGACTCATTGCCAATAAACCACCAGAAAGCTAGAAGTGGCGCTGTGCGCGCGCACGCGCGCGCGCGCACACACACACACACACACCCCAGGCCTGGGTGCTGGTGGCTGATGCCTATAATCCTAGCTACTCAAGAGTCTGAGATCTGAGGATTACAATTCAAACCTAGCTCCGGCAGGAAAGTCTATGAAACTCTTATCTCCAGTAACACCAAAAAGAATTGAAGTGTGACTCAAGTGGTAGATTGCTAACATTGAGTGAAAAAAGCTAATACAGTGGCCAGGTCCTGAATTCAAGCCCCAATACCAGCTCACACATACAAAATTAATAACATACTAGGAACTGAATAGGTACCCTATATAATGTTAATAAATTTAATAATTTATTCAATATTCATATATCAGGCTCTAGGCTAGCCTCTGACACTTTTTGAGTTGACATATGCAACTGAGCCAACTTATAAATAATGAAATTCTCAGAATACAGGTAATATGAATTGGATTCTTTGTGAGATCAAGAGTTTCTGTCATTGAATCTTTCTTGAATACTTTTTTAATATTTTTGAATTTATGTAAATTATGAAAATATGCTGAAAGTGTTTTAATCTGGAATTTGGCAACATGACATATGTGTGAACAATTTTTTAGCAATGATTGTAACTCTGTTTGGGGTTGATGAATTTTTTTTGAAAATCTGATGACAGCTAAAGATCTATCAGCCAGAAAAAGAAATTCAAATTCATTTATACCAAAACGTTTTAATATTATCTAATTAAATCAATTCCTATCTAATTTCAGACCCCTCAGAAATAGAGTTCCTTTTGTTAATCTTACTCTATGTTTTCCATATATTTAGGACAAGAAAATACAATATGAGAAACATTGGAAAAGATTTTTATCTGAACTTGAAGTTTTACTTCTGTGAGTATATTTTTGTCTGAATTTTCCCCTTCATGCCTGGGTTCATCTCTGTTTGTCTTTGATTTTAAATCACAGTGATTAGCATTTAATTAATGTGGGTTAGGTGTTAGAACACTGGGTTCCTTTTTTGACATCTGCTTCAATATATTCCTTAAAGTACATTTTAAAATAGACCATTTACATAATTCACTTCAACATATTTCAACAAGAAACTGTCACAAGGAAGTAGGTGAAATTGTGTGTGACTAACATGACTGAATAGTAATTCTTCGAACAAAAATTGTATGTATTTCCCCCTTCTCCTGTTCCTTAGAGACATTTCAGTTGAGAAACAGTTTCATCACTGAGACTTTCTTCAGGAAGAGAGTTCTAGACAAAGACATCAAATGCTTTTAATGTGCATATTATTTTCTGGGAACTCATTCATGAATCTTACAGTCCTTGGAGACAAATTTAAATGACTTCATTTTCATAATATATTCCTATCTGTAGCTATAAATTCTTCTTCATTGAAGGCTTCTAGCCCTGTGGAGTTCACTCATCACCCTTCATATACATAGAAATGTTCTTTTCAGCTGTTCTCAGAAAGATATGTAGAGTTGGGGGTTGATGGAAAGGGAGGGACGGAAGACATTAATTATATTGAATTCCATGGCTTTATCTGCAGGAACAGAAACTAAAACAGCAGAAACTAAATACCTACTATATAGCTAGCTTAAAAAAATGTTTCAAATTCCAGTGATTGGTCATTTGCATATAAAAGTAAGATTCAGACATTTTCTAATTCCAAAAGGGCAAAGAAACCAAGAAAGACTTTCTCCCACAATCCAGCTGGATCTCCAAAGGCGACAGTTATCTATTTGTTGTATATATTCCTAGAGTTATTTTATGTATAGTCCAACAGGTATTTGCCTTTTTATTTTCCTCCTCTTATACAAAAGGTAACATAGATACATACTCATTTTGCTCATTTTTTTAATATTTAGTCTGTGCGCTACAGTATCCTATTCCTCTTCAGGGATTTAAAGTTTTTTTATTTTTTTCATTTCCCCCCCTAGTCTTTTATGAAAGAAAGAAAGGAAGGAAGAAAGGAAGAAAGAGAAAGAAAGAAAGAAAGAAAGAAAGAAAGAAAGAAAGAAAGAAAGAAAGAAAGAAAGAAAGAAAGAAGGAAGGAAGGAAGGAAGGAAGGAAAGGAAGGAAAGGAAGGAAGGAAGGAAGGAAGGAAGGAAGGAAGGAAGGAAGGAAGGAAGGAAAGAAGGAAGGAAGGAAGGAAAGTTGAGCACTGATGGTTCATGCTTCTAATCTTAACTACTCAGGAGGCTGAGCTCTAAAGAACTCAGTTCAAAGCCTGCCAGAGCAGGAAAGCCTGTGAGACTCTTATCTTTAATAAACTACTCTGAAAAGGCTTAAAGTGGTGCTGTATCTCAAGTGGTAGAGCACAGTCTTGAGCATAGAAAGATTCAGGGCCAGCACACAGGATCTGAGTTCAAGCCCCAGAACCAGAAAAAAAAAATTGCAGCAAGATTGCTTTTATTCTTGGTGTCATCGCCAAAGCTATTGCAAAAACCAATGTCAAGGAGGCTGTTTTCTATGTTTGTTTGTTTTCCCAAAAGCCTTGTGGTTTTAGACCTTGCATTCGGTCTTAAGTACATTTTCAATTAATTTTTGAATTTGAGGTGAGACCAGTGCTATTTCCTGCTTTCCCATGTCAGTTTCCCAACACCATTCATCAAATAATTTTTAAAATTTCCCTCTGCTATATTATATCTTCCTTAAGGGTTAACTAATCATGTATGTATAAGTTTATTTGTAAACCCTATTCTGGTCCATTGATCTATATTTTTGTTGTAATGCCATCACATACTATTTTGATTACTATAGCTTATACCAGGAAGCAAATGCCTCTAGCTTTATTCTTCTTACTCAAAATTGCTTTGACTGTTTGGGGCCTTTCATGATTTAATTTTTTAGAAGTTTTTTTTCCTATTTCTGGGGGAAATGTAATTAGAATTTTAATACTGATATATTGAATCTGCAAATCATTATGGAGATTTCACGGGCTTCAAACCAGCAATTTCTCTCCACAGCATCTCCATGTTCACACCTCATTGACCTCTACAGTATCCATTGTTCTGTTTGGTTAGTAATGTTTAAAAATAAGCAAATGAGCTAGGTGCCAGGGGCTCAAGCCTGTAATCCTAGTTATTCAGGAGTGTGAGATCTGAGGATCACAATTCAAAGCCACAGCGCAGGCAGGAAAATCCATGAGACCTTTATCTCCAATTAACCACCAGAAAACCAGAAGTGGCACTGTGGCTCAAGTGGTAGAATGCTCACTTTGAGCTGAAATGCTGGGGGACAACACCTAGGCCCAGAGTTCAAGCCCCACTACTGACCAAAAAATTAAAAAAGCAAATGATCATTTCTATTCCGTGGGCAATGGAGCAGAGGATCAGGCCATGACAGTATCTATGTGTCTACATTTCTGCTATCTTCTGCCTCCCAAAATACTTTGTCTCAGAATTATTTTAGATTGTGAGTGAACCACATAGCAAGTGGTTTAGATCAGCTGTTGAAGTAGCTGAATCTACCTCTTCTATTTCTTTTCTGTCCATTGCTTTTCATTTTAATAGATCTAGTACAAATAAAAATATGTATAGGGACCTTAAATCAGAAAAATTAAAAATAAGTCTTTAGGTGAGCCCAGTGACCTGCACCTGTAATCTTAGCTACTCAGGAAACTGACCTGAAGATCACAGTTCAAAGCCAACCCCAGGCAGGAAAGTCCATGACTCTTATCTCCAATTAACCAGCAAAAAGTTGGAAGTGGAGCTGTGGCTCAAGTGGTAAAGTGTGAGCCTTTAGCAAAAAAAAGCTCAAGGACAGCATATAGGCCCTGAGTTCAAGCTTCAGGAATGGCACACATGTGTACATACATGTGTATGTGTTTATGTATACATACAGACACACCCTGAGATGAGGGATAAAACTAATCCCAAGCTATATATACATTATTTATAGCCCCCCACACACACTACATACATTTGTATATGTGAGAGACAGAGTATAAGTTGCTACAAAAGCAAATAGTCCTTTATAAGTAGAATAATTTTTAGCCAAGCATGATGTTGAGATCTAGAGGATTTTCAGCCTAGGCAGAAAAGTCTGAATGACTCTATCTTCAGCAAAATTCTGGACTGGAGGTGTGGCTCAAGTAGTAGAACACCAGCCATGAGCAAAAAGACCAGTGATCTCAAGCTCTGTTAGCAGCATGCACACATATACATAAAAAATAAACATTTTTCCACAGCCTCATTTGTTTTAATATTCCCAACCATGTCCAGGACATTATAGTATTTAATAAATGATTGTTGAATTACACAGAAATTCCTAGTAAATGTCACGTTTTATATTTCATAGTGATTATCTGTCATCCAGAGGTGTTCATAGCAATGGCACATATACTCAAGGAAGTAGTTTTGTTAGTAGGCTAAAAATTATTATTAGGGAGGGAGCTTGAGAGATATATTCTACACTGATATAGAAATCTGTGGCTTGTTTTCACCGCATGAAATTACTAGTTACATGGATTTTATGTAAGGATATAATTTTTGTGAAGACTTGCTATCTCTTCCCAGCTTGTAACTGGGGACAGATCCAGTACCTGACATAGTAATACTCAATAAATGAATGAATAGAAACCAGTTTCTATTCAGATACTGTAACTTAGTGATTTTATTTACATTGTTCATTTAAATAAGTCAAATGATCAATTTCTGTTGCATTATTTTTATCTATAAATACCATAAGTATATGGTGTTTCATACTGATAAAAATAAATTATTAAGGGGCTGGGAAGGTGGCTCAGTGGTAGAGCACTTGCCTTGCATGCATGAGGCCCTGGGTTTGATTCCTCAGCACCACATAAGCAAAAAGAAAAAAGTCAGAAGTGGGGCTGTGGCTCAAGTGGTAGAGTGCTAGCCTTGAGCTGAAGAGCTGAGGGACAGTGCCCAGGCCCTGAGTTCAGGCCCCATGACTGGCAAAAAAATAAATAAATAAATTATTAAGTTGGGCACTGGTGGCTCACACCTGTAATCCTAGTACTCAGGAGGCTGAGATCTGAGGATCACAGTTCAAAGCCAGCCTGGGCAGGAAAGTCTGTGAGACTCTTATCTCCAATAAACCATTAGAAAACCAGAAGTGGCGCTGTGGCTCAAGCGGTAGAGCGCTCGCCTTGAGCTGAAGAGAGCAGAGACAGTGCCCAAGCCCAGAGTTCAAGCCTCATGACCACCCCCCCCAAAAAAATATTGAAGGGTTGTCCAAGTTTTCAAAATTCAAAACTTGATGAAATCTGTACATATTTTCATAAAATTTTGCCCACATATACATATTTCATACTACATAATTGTAGTACTTGTACAGAAAGCAAATCTGTGTCATATGTCCAGTGGAATTGCTTCTTCCTTGGCTGTGTTTATCTACTTTTTGATCTATTCTCCATGTTTCGAAAGCAGTGAATTGTTCGTATCCTAACCGAACAGACAGTTTGATGGTTCTCAAAACCTTCTGTTTCAAGGTTCCATCATCCCCACATACTAGAACTGGCTGCATATTTTATGGAGATGGAGAAGTTCTGTCTGGTCTATCCATACATGAGCAATGGGACCCTTTTTGACCGACTACAGTGTGCAGTAAGTCATGTCTATCATTTGCCTGGTCCTGCGACCTGCTGAAACACAAGGGTAAGGGAGGGTCTGTGAGATCCATGGGAACTGGAAAGTCAAGCCATATGCACATGAGGGCTCTACCAAGAAAATAGACTTTTCCTAGTTCTGTAGGGAAGATGGAACCCAGGGCCTCAAGCATGCTAAGCAAGCAGTGAGTCAGCAGAGCCCTGTTTCTGGCTTTCTGTGTTGCGTTTGTTTGCTTCCTAGTTCACTGACTTTTTCTGAGCCAGCCTACAACTCCAGATTCTCATGCCTCCACCTCCTGAGTAGTTATGATTACAGGGATGTACCACCAAGCTGGGCTCAAGAATTAATTTCTAACTCATAGAAACTGCATAAATACTTAGAGGGTTTGAGTTCCAAGCAACATGCATGCCACATATTTGTTGGTTTCTTCCTCGGTACTGATTCTAAAAACCTGAGTATATATTACTATTCTTATTTCCCAGGTAACTTTAATTTGCATAATTTTATGTAAAATATCATTGCATACAAAGGTCAGACATAAAAGTGATGAGTTACCCTGTATATCACCTTTATAATAAAAATAACAAAATAAAAATTTAAATAAAAAAGAAAGAGTTAAATGAATGCCATAATCTTCTCTATGACATTTTAAGGGCAAGTTTAAGAATTGATTGCAAATAGTTTAATTTTCAGGGAGTGTGAGAACAAAAAACTAGTTTAGTTATTGATACTATTATGGCCCCAAGTAATTTTAAAATCTTCTTTAAGGGGCTTTTGAATAGTATCACCTTCCCATGTGTCTCTTGTGCATTTGGGAATCAAATTCTGGCCCTTTCACATGCTAGACAAGGGCTCAACCCCTGAGCCATATACCTACTCCTGTCATGTTTCATTAAGCTAAAATTTAAAAAGTATTGGGTGAGAAGGTGAGGTCGCTTACGTGTATAGATATCTCACACAGAGTCCTCAACACCCCCAGTAATGTATGCTAATAAAAAAGTAAGAGAAGAAGGTGAAAAGTAAAAAGAAATTAAATATTTCTATCATCTCTAAAGAAGTAGGCCCATCATCAGTAGTAGATAAGAACCCATTTGGAACTCAAAATAGGTTGATAAGAAACCTACATGTTTGTCCCTTACCCTTCTTGACATATTGGAAAATTAGCTTATATTCAGAAAATGTAACTAAACTTGCTGACTGTCTTCTTAGGGTAACACAGCCCCACTCTCTTGGGACATCCGAATCAGCATATTAATTGGTGTATCCAAAGCCATTGGATATTTGCACAACATTCAACCGTGCTCAGTCATCTGTGGCAGTATATCCAGGTAAATGATCACAGAGCTTTAGACTATACCTTTCACCACCACAGGTGGGTCATATTTCACATATTTCTATCTATACTTTTCCTCATTGGAAGTGGAGGCATGGCTCAAATTGTAGAGCACTAAGCTGTAGGTTAAAAAAAAAAGCTGAGACAGCAAAGCCCTGAGTTTGAGCTCCAGAAAAACACACATAAAAGCATTTCCAAGCAAGAAAGACAGATTTGCTTGAGAAGATTTGCAGGTTGGAGGATAAAACACGATTGGAGATAAAGAATGTGGTAAATAGGAGATTAGAAGGGGCCTTATTCATGAGAAGAATTAACTATATTTGCTAAACTGAGCTGTGGTGAATGACTCCGAGACTTGTCTGGAGTTGTGTGTGGGAAGAGAAAAAAATCTGCTTTCTCTCAAGTAGTATCACAACTGAAGAGGAGGCCAGTTCTTCCAGAACAGTCTCCCCTATACTGGTTTATAAAATAATTTTAAGTAAGACTGGCAGACAAAATCCTCAATAAGTAAATATATCCAAAGAGGATATCCAAAGAGATCTAATCAGAGCTAAGGAAAAATACTGTGGAAGAAGCAGAAATTGAGGTGGAAATGTAACTAATGATGGAATCATTTGGAAGAGCCTTCAGTCATGCCCATCAATAGACTATACCCACTCAGGATGTTAATGTGTTAGAGTACAAAGTTCTGGAGCTATAAACATTAGCTTGAGAACTGTGGTTTTACAAAGGCTCATCAGTGTATCCCTACTGCTCCATCACCTATCAACCCCTTCTCACAGCCATTGAACTCCAAGTCTTTCTGCTGAACTGCAAGGCAAAGATGTTAATTAGTGCCAACGCTTACCATAGACTTAATTCTCTTGTTTGGTGACCTGCACCCCTATTCTCTAAGAGCTGGAATAAGACTAACACCGTTCATTCAGGTCATCGAACATGTGTCAGATGGTAATGACAATCAATCCCCAGACAAACATCAGTTGTCAATCGTCAGACCTAGATTACTCATCTTCATCTCTCTTAAAAGAAAATTCCACTTCACTTTAATACTGAACCTCTGTGGTTCTTGGCCTTGTATGTGCTGGAATACATGCCTCTTTTGTCTTTGTTGTACAATTTTTTAACTGTTTGTAGGGAATGACAGCTTTCAGGAGGAATATCATCTATTGTATAGCCTGATAACTGGCTCAATAAAAACACTTGTCAAAATCTATATAGAACAGAGTGACCTTTTTCCTGAGTAAATTGAGGAAGTATTTTTGCTGAAGGAGTGAAAAATAAAAGATATTATTTCTTTTCTTTTCTATAGTTAGTCTTCAGATTAGTGGGCCATGGAAAACCTTATCATAAATCAGTTGACATTATAAATAATGTTATTAGTTGATGTTGTAAGTATGAAATAACATGGAATAATGTGTATAAAGTGAAAAAAGTAAGAAGACAAAATGAAATAGTATATAGTACATACTTGTATACATAATTATAACTCTATAGAACTACAGATTACTTTACTTACAAGAAAGATTGAAAGTAAAACATACCAAAATATCAACAAGGGTTTATTTAGATAGAGAGACTGTAGGTTTATTTATTTATTTATTATAAAAGTGATATTCAGAGGGGATACTGTTTCATAAGTCAGGTAATAAGTACATTTCTTTTTTTACAATGTCACCCTTTCCTTTACTCTTTCCCAGTTTTTCCCTCCCACTCCTCCCACAAGTTGTAAAGTTCATTTTCAACATAGTGTCTGCTGAGTGCCAGGTTAGCTTTTGAATAGATTAATTTTTTTCGTTCCATCCATTTAAAAATGTGCAAGGAGTATTTCCATTCTTATAATAAAAGCAAAATTATTAGAAAAAATAACTATCAGAAGAAGTTCCAAGACAGTTTCAAATTACTAGATAAAATTTTTAAGTCTTTACCTCAGTCATTCTTCATAATTAATTCTATCTATATAAAAACTTGATTAAAAGGCTGTAAAATGCCAGGCAACCTTTATGCTGATCAGACTCTCTACGGGGTGGAGCTTAGGGGTGTTGAAGGAAATACCTGCAGCTGCTACCCCACACTGGAATTGCTCTTTTAAGAAAACTTCTGAAATGATTATTTTCTCCCTGATCTTTTCTCTCCTTTTCTCCTTCCCCAACTACCCAGTGATCTCATTATTGTCCCTGTCTCTTGTTACTCTTTAAGAGTATGACCTTTGTGCCATCTGGAGGTAAGCATGACACCACTGCACCTGCTAGATGGGGGTGTGAGTTTGAAATGAGGTCGTAAATGGAATGTGCAGTCCAGATCTGATTCCCACATAATGTTAGACTCATCTCTTCTACCTCCTGTGTGCTCCTTCCAACCTGTGTTTGAACTCCAGCCATGAGGGAGGGTCTAGCACACGGGGTTCCTTTTCCATTTGAGTACAGATCTAATTACTATAGTTTTTTTTGTATTTAAAGCTAAAATCCAATGGCTGGGGGAAAAAAAGTAAAAATTCATCCTTCCTCCTTGTAATCGACAGTTTCTTAATCTTTTATTCATATAAGTGAATGAAAAGGTCCCCCCCACCCACCTTCCTTAACTGTAGTAAATAAAAGAGCACCAAACAGGGAATTAGAAGAGCTAGGTTTTAGTCCTGGTGCTGACATTAAGCTATTTTGTATGAAATAAGTCATGTCAGCCATGTGGGCTTCATTTATCTCATCTGAAAAAGAGGCAGTACACTCTACCAGCCATGACAAATCAATTTTAGCTCACATTCCATCTATGATGGATTGGTAATGATTTCCCAAGTGCAGTGGTGAGAAGGAACTTAGGGTGGGTGCTTTCTGAACTCAATTACTGATGTCTGCCAATCACATGGGCTAAATATTTGCTTTATCCAAGTTCAGAATGTTTACATGATACCTCTAAATAAATAGAGATCCCATTTATTTTGGCTCAGCATTGTGCTGTTGTAAACAACATGCGATAGCCTCCAGTTAAGGACCAAATGGTACAGTTGAGGTTGTCCAGTGGGAACAGTGAGGGAGGAGCACAGGAATTCCGAGCAGTGCAGGGAGATGCATGAGGTGGAAGCACATCTTATGGCTGTGGAGGATTTGGATGAACATTAGGGAGGGAGATGGACTTTCAATATGAGAGGCACAGCATAAAGAACCCCCGAAGAGAACAAATAAGTTCAGTTTATCCTGTCTGCACTGGTAAATACGAACATATTAAGAGTGACAGAAAGACTTCAGGCTTGTGGATTAGGGAGCTCAATGAAAGCCAAAGGACATTAGACCTGATGCAAACACCCACTAAATACCTTGTTCTTAATCTGCCGACAATGGTGACTGTAGGTTTTAATTGTTATCATCTCAGTTTGATAGGAGAAAGTCCCAAGTTAGTAACTTGCCTCTGTCGCATGGTAGGGAAGAGGAGGTGACGTTCCATGCTTGTGTGAGTCTAGCAATCATCCTCTTATTATGGGATTAATGGTTTTGGATTACTTGGAGCATATTGACTTCTACCACTCCACCTCTTAGAGGGGATGTGAAGCAGAAACATTGAGAAGAGTAGATTGGATTTATGGTGCAAAATTCGGTAATGTAGTCAGTGAACACATAGTGAAAATCATAGCAGGCAGCCAGCCATCTTTGAGGGGGATATTAGGCCTGGAACTCTGCATTGTCAACCTTGGTTTGTTCAAGCAGCATGAGTAAATGGCTTTCTAAGGAAGAAACTGTGGAGGTCTCAGTTGGGAACACCCACAGGAGGAAGTCAAACCCACGTTCCAAGGGCATTTTCAACAAGTCTAGTGGTTTATTTAGCCCCCAAAAATGCTTTAGTAATTTGAACTCTTCAAATAGAATGTTATAAAAACAAAACTCACTTCCAGATGGTGGAATTTGAGGAGGAAAGGATTTAAAGAAAAGAATCCCAAAGAGTTGCAATCTGTATTCTTGGCAAAGGGCCTCTTACATTTTTATTTGGGCAACGAAGATGTTTTTGAATTACAGGATCACATAAAAGCATCTGAAAGCAGTAAACCTACTTGTTATTTCCATCCCATCCTTTAGGAAACTTAATTGTTTTCACATTTATGAACAATTTTAAATGGAAACACATTTTATCCTCAGCACGTTTCATTCCTGCTAATGGTTCCAAAGTGAGGGGATAATCTTGGTGAACATTTCTAATGTGTCCTATAAAATCTTTTTCTTTAATTGTATTGCCATTTGTCTCCTGCCAAGTTAAACAGAGTTCCAAGAGAAAGGAAGGAAAAAAAATGCTTAAAAATGTGATTTTTTTAAAAGTGGAAATTAATCAGGGTTCGAAGGTTGGAGTGAGTTAATGCATGGATCATTTCCTTTGTGAGGGAATAGAAAGACTGAGTAGTTGGGAAAACTGGGCAGGAAGCAACAGATTAGTGTTTTCCCCTGCTCACCCCCCCCCCACACACACAACTCCCTAGATACAAGAACAGTTTTGCCTAAGGACGCAGCTCCTTCCTGCCTTTATTATTGTATCTAAACCTCAACATTGATTTGATAGACATAGATAGATATGTACATGCAGGTACAATACATGCCAAAAAGGTTTTTTTTCCCCTCTCTATTGTCAAATTACCTAGAAATATTGCTTCAGTTAAATGTGTCTAAGACTTTGGTTCCTTGAAACTAATTAACATTGTACTGATTGACCAAAGGTTAGAGTAAGCAGGACTTGAGGACCAGGATGTACCCTGTTGTACCACTGTCATCATCAATGTAATGCCAAGGTCGCAGGACCCCCCCACAAGAAGACTACCGAGAGTCAGACTCTACAGCTGTTTTATTTAAACGGGGCTGCAGCTTGGGCCTCGTCCTACACTCCGACACAGCGAGCCCAGGAGGAGAGCCCCGAGCTAAGGATTTGCAGGTCTTACATACGCACACAATCAACCAGGTGTTTTGATTACCACCACGTGTTGCTTTGCTAGACAGAAACAAGCAACACGTGGTGGTCACTGCCTCAAACTTTAACCTTTCAATCAATGCCCTTGAACTTCTAATATTACCCAACCCAACCTCTTGAATTTAAAGATAAGGTGTAAGAAGGACAATGGCCAATCTATATTCAGTGTTCACCGTGTGTGGGTGGGAGGTGTTGGTGTGGGTGTGTATGTGTGTTATTAGGATTTAAACAGGGGCCTCCTCGTGGTTATTTGACTTGCTTGCTAGCTTGATACCCTACCATTTGAGCCAAGCCACTAGCCTTGATTTTTTGTGGTAATATTTGGAGATAGAGTCTCACAACCAATGCTTCTGCTTGAACTGACTTGAACCATGATCCTCCAGGTCTCAGCCTCCTAAGTAGCTAAGATTATAAGCCTGAGTCACCAGTATCCAGCTACCAGTCCATATTATTTAAAATGTATCTTGAAGTCCTCTCTACATAATACGAGCTTTACTTACAGTTTTGTTGTTGTTGTTGTTTTTGTGTCTTTGTACTTGTCTCAAGGTTTGGACTCAGGACCTTGGCAGCGTTCCTGAGCTTTTTTTGCTAAAAGCTAGCATTCTATCACTTGAGACACAGCTCCATTTTCAACTTTCTGGTGGTTAATTGGATAGAAGAATCTCATGGGCGTTCTTCCAGGTTGGCTTTGAACTATGATCCTCAGATCTCAGCTAGGATTATAGGCATGAACCATTGGTGCCCAGCTTTACTTACTTTTTAAAAGTTTAATCTTTATGAAATCCTAGTGAAGTGGACATTGCAAGATCCTTTTACTTGCATGGAAAGTGAAGTTCAAAGAAACTGTGTTAGTTTAGTGAGGTACATTATCTCACAGAGGAACATCTCTGACTAAGTTTCTGCACAGAAAGCTTAGGATCATCAAGTAGCTGTAAAGCACCAGCAAATTTTCATTCTAAAACATACCTGGGCTCACTGGGGGAAAGAGAAAAATCCCATAAACCAACAGGAAACTAGGTTTAGGTCCATATGATTCCAGGCAAGAGACCATGCATGCTGAAATGGAGCAGTGTGTAACACTCCAGTAACACGCATGTCTGAGGAAACTGGGCCTTGCTTCATTTTAGGGGAGGCAGGACATCTGTGGAGAGGTGCAGCACTGTTGTCACAGCGGTGACATACGATATGCGATCTCACGTCAGGCCACCAAAGAGGCCAGTTGAGTTCTCTTGGTCTCTGGGGCCAACTTGGGGAGGGGAACCCTGAGCTTTCCTGAGGGTTCATAAACACAGAGGCTGAGTATTGGTAAATTCCATTAAGTATAGTCACATAGACACATACACATGTATATATATTGGTTATGTTCTTACATGTCAACAGCAGCATAGGCACCTAAGTTCAAATCCTGCCTTTTAATCTAGGTATATCATTTTTTACTTTTTAAGGCTCGGAAGCTTGGAAACAATCTGACACACAAAACAATTCTCACTATAAAGGGGGTGTTGCATGGAAGATTCAGATTTTCCAAAGGAATTGTTAAGACTCTACCTTAATAAAGAGATAAAGTAACAAGCCCAGAGCCAGGACACAAACTCATCACCTGTGATGAATTCCCCTCATGTCTTCAATGTATAACCAAGAGTCCTTCTGCTAGGAAACCTACCAGGAGAGCTGATGGTCTCTGGGTGTTAGTAAATAGCTTGCAGTCAAGCATAGAAAAAATAAGTTGCAAAAACAGCAAAGTGAAGGTGTGGTCCATTTGGTCCACCATATACTAATGTCGTTTTTTATTTGTTTATTTGTTGTTCTTCGGGCGTTTTCTTTTCTTGGTTTTTGTTTGCTGGGTTGGTTTTTGGTTGCCAGATTGCAACCAAGCTGCCCCCTTGGCAATCCATTGTTGTAATTTTAGTTGTTTTCTACCATCTTTACTTTGTTAGTCTATTTTATCCCACAGAGTAAATTTACCCAGCTGTCCTGCATTGTAGCTGAAGGCACTTTATGTTTGAACATTCTATTTACAGTTGAGGCAGAAGAAAGAATTAGGGTGGACATGGATTGTGGAAGGGCTTTTTTTGTGATTTTCTTCTTCCTGAAACAGAACATCCTTCTTCCATAGCTGCCATTAACCTTTATTTAGAACAGAGTAAATCACTGAACTCAAGATTTATGACGTATACTAAGGTCTGCTGGTAAACAACTTTTCTTTTCACCCAGTGCCATTATTCAATGTGTAAATGCAGCACTCGAATAATTCCATGTCTTGTTGATGACCTCTCACTGACCCCAGGTTCTTGGTGGGTTTATTGAGTAAGCATTGTGTTTGTGGGCACTCAAATCACCTCTGCCTATCATTCACAGATGTAGGATTTACCAGTTGCAGGAAATTTCCACTAATTTTGTCACGGGTCAAATAATTGCCTCCAATTATGGGGATCATTGTTGTTCTTGCTCCCTCTCTTTCTTTTATATCTAGAAAGCATTTGGTCCTTCTTATGTATTTTGTGTATTCAGCTTTGGCACCGTCAGGCCTCTGCCATTGTATGAGAACAACTACTTAAGCCAGAGTAGGGAAGAAGGGTTAAGAGGAAAGGAGCAGGAGAAGGAGATGGCAAAAGAGGAGAAGGGGAGGAAGGGATGGAGAGAAGTATGTACTGAATCTAACTTCTGCAGTTAGTTACATTTTAAATGAAACTCAAAAGTCAGAGCAAAAAGTTCTTAAAGATGGAACTGTGGGGTTGAGCTATCATTAAAGCAGGATCTACCAAGAGCCCTGAAGCTAGGCACTGGTAGCTGACACCTCAGGAAGCTGAAATGAGAGGCTCACAGTTCAAAGCCAGCCTATGCAGAAGTCTGTGGTACTCTTATCTTCAACTAACCACCAAAGAGTTGGAAATGGAAGTATGGCTTGAGTGGCAGAGAGCTAGCCTTGAGCAAAAGAAGCTAGAGAAAACAGGAAGCCCTGAAGTTAAGCCTCAGTACCAGCACCAAAAGCAGATCGTTCCCAGTTAGTGGCTGTGTGCTGGTAAGCCAAGTTTCCACAGTCCAACTATTTCCATACAAGAAACCCTTAGTTATTAGCTGATTAAAACTCACTTCATGTTGTCATTAAATGTAAAAAAAAACACAAAGAAAGCTGCTCTATGGTTAACTATGGTTTGATTTATTGACATAGTTGCAGCTTTTCTCACAATTTTCCTATCTATCTATCTATCCATCTATCTATCTATCTATCTATCTCTGTAAATGTGAAATGCCCACTCTTCATAGGTGAGGTTTTATACCATACTTAGATCGGTGCCTTAAGAGAAAATGATTTAAGAGTTCTGAAGTCCATGGAAATATATGTTTGGCTTCATTTTGTCAATTTTTGAATTAATCGGATAAAAAGGTGAGCTTACTATGTTGTAATTTTATTAACATCCTTATGATGTTGTGTCTTGTTTGTTCTCAATCACAATTTCAGTGCAAACATACTTTTGGATGATCAGTTTCAACCTAAACTGACTAATTTTGCCATGGCACACTTCCGACCCCACCTAGAACCTCAGAGTTCTACCATTAATATGACCAGCAGCAGCAGGAAAGATCTTTGGTACATGCCAGAAGAGTATATCAGACAGGGGAAACTTTCCATTAAAACAGATGTCTTCAGCTTTGGAATTGTGAGTAACTACTACCAGTTAACAAGGAGAGATTTTTATTGCCAAGTATGTTCTGTTTGTTGTTGTTGTTTTGGTTGGTCATGGGGCTGGGCCTGGGCGCTGTCCCTGAGTTCTTTAGCTCAAGGCAAGCACTCTACCACTTGAGCCACAGCGCCACTTCCAGCCTTTTCTGCTTATGTGGTATTGAGGAATCGAACCCAGGACTTTATGCATGTGAGGCAAGCACTCTACTGTTAAGTCACACTCCTAGCTGGCCAAGAATGTTCTTAATTCTCAGAAGAAATATGCAAAAGAGCTTTAACATCTAGGCTCATTGACTTACTGCTATCTTACATTTTAATTCTGGTTATCAGTGAAAACAAAAAATAGTAAAAAAAAAAACAATTAGAACTGTTGTATTCATTGTGATTAATAGCTACAACAGATAACATGTATATTCTCAATATATATAGCTGACTTTGTACTTATTACCTTATAGGTAATCATGGAAGTTTTGACAGGTTGTAAAGTGGTGTTAGATGATCCCAAACATATTCAGCTGGTAAGAATTGTCATCATTGGCATACTTGATTTCCTTTTTAGTTATCAACTTCCAGGTAATAAGTTTATTTCTTCCTCTTTCTAGCGTGATCTCCTTATGGAATTGATGGAGAAGAGAGGTCTTGATTCATGTCTCTCACTTCTAGACAAGAAAATTGAGCCCTGTCCTCGGAACTTCTCTGCCAGGCTTTTCTCTTTGGCAGGCCAGTGTGCTGCAACTCGGGCAAAGTTAAGACCTTCAATGAATGAAGTATGTATATATTACATGGTTTTATTCAAAACTGAGCTATGGGAAATTTACATTATGGGAAATCTGAGCTATGGAACATCTAAACCTAAGGATGACTTGTATATCCAAGTGAATTCTTTATCAATGAAGCAAATCCAGTCCCAAACAGATAAGTCTAGCTTAATAAATCATCTTTCTAGATTGTAAAACAATCACACCAGCCACATGCCAGTGACTTATAGCTGAGATCTGAGAATTGTAGTTTGAAGCCAGCTTAGGGAGGAAAGCCCATGAGATTCTTATCTCCAATTAAAAATCAGAAGTACAACACCAGCCATGAGCAAAAAAGCTAAAGGAGAAGATCAGGCCTTGAGTTCACATGCACACATGTGAATGCGCATACACACACACGCACACACACACACACACACACACACATGCACATGAACACACACACAGTTGCCATTCATAAGACATAAAGTCTTTTCTAATGTAAAATTTGATAGTTGAATTATTTCCACAAAAATTAGATAATAGTCTTTAATAGGTAGAGTGAGTAAAGATGGGTAATAGAGGGTGATATTCAGATTTAATTCAGTGTTTGTCCTCTTTGTTAATTAGGTCCTGAATGCTCTTGAAAACACTCAAGCCAGCTTATATTTTGCAGAAGACCCTCCAACATCATTGAAATCCTTCAGGTGTCCTTCTCCTGTATTTCTGGATACCGTACCAAGCATTCCAGTGGAAGATGATGAAAGCCAGAATAGTTATTCAGCACCTCAGGATAAAGATTTGAGAAAAGATAGAACTCAAAACATCCCTTTTGAATGCAGTCAGTCTGAGGTCACATTTCTGGGCTTGGAAAGAAAGACAGGGAGTGAGAGAAGAGAGAATGCTTGCTATCTGCCCCGTTCTTGTGAAGAAAGCAGGTCCCCAGAACACTCAGATACATCCCAGGCTGTGGGGATCACTGAGATCAGTCTGCACTCTTCTTCAGAAGCATCAGGCCTGGCTTACAGGAGTAGGCCAATGGAGAACAAGTGCTCCTCTGGATTTCTTTTGGAATGAAGATGAACAGAACAAAAACAAATGAATTTCATCTGAAGAAGAAAGAAGAAAGCAAGGGTGACTGGGGCATGTGGAGGAGAGGGCATCACTGGGGAAGGCATGATCTCCACAAGTAATGCCCAGAGAATGACAGATAGCAGCCTTGAATAATGTAGATAATCTGGACAGTTGTATTACTTGCTTCCCACACTCCAAAACAGAATAGCTTAAACAAATGTTTTATTTTGGGGGGGGGTAATTGTCTCAGGGTGAAACCCAAGCTACATGTGGAATTATTCAAGATCCTGAGTTCTGACATCAGCTAAACAAAACAAGCAAAACCCACCACCAAAGAGGGCTTGTCAGCATCTGCTCTGTCATCTCCAAGTGAGTCCTCACTGTCTTTGTCTGCTAAAGACATTCAACTGGGCTCCATTGTTTGATTATCTGTTGCTTGTTTGCAAGGTGGTAGGAGCTGTGGAATTTGTATAAAGATGATATGTTAATAGATACCTTTTTACGATTATTAGTCCTTAGTCTTTATCTGTTCCTCCCCATCCACTTTGCCTAAATGGAAAGGAGCCAGGCCCAGCCTTGGCCAGGGCATGTTCTCTGCAGAGAAAGAGTGCTTATCCAGTCTGTATTTCTATATTCCAACGCTTAGTTTATTTAGCATACAGTTTAGCTGTTGACTATTATTATAAATATTTTGCTAACTCAGAGACCTATCAAGTCCTGAGTGGAATGTATGAAATTTTAATCAAGTGATTTTTGCTTGTTTTTGTTTGTGCTAGTCCTGGGGCTTAAACTGGGGGTTTGGGCACTGTGTCTGAACTATTGTGCTCAAGGCTAACATTGGACCACTTGAGCCACAGCTTCATTCCTGGCTTTTTTAGTGACTAATTGGAGATAAGTGTCTCATAGGCATTCCTGAGCTGGCTGGCTTTGAAGCACTATCCTCAGATCTTAGCCTCCCAAGTAGCTAGGATTACAGGTGTGAGCCATCAGGGCCTGTCTAATCAGGTCCTTTTTGTTTCACGAAAAAAATAGCTGTTCACAAAAATCTAGATCAGATTTTTTTTTGTTTGCTTTTATTTTCTGCCATAAAATGGTGCCCTTCCTCCTACTGCTTCCTGTTGGGTTCCGACAATTGCTGTCCTCCAGGAAGTCCCCCTGATGAGGTAACACAAAGTACTCACTTTTTCAGCATCTCCATAACTATTTCTTTGTGTTTCTTATCTATGGTACCTACTTTGTGAGTTATCTAAAAGTCACCTGCATTAGCTTACCTCTTTTACTAGGTGGTAAACACTGTTTGTTTTCTATTACTGCTATCACAAACAACCACCAATTTAGTGGCTTCAAGTAGCATGGTTTATGTTTACAGTTCTTAAAGGTCAGTAGTCCTTGGCATTCCTTGTGAAGAAGCTAGGGGAGAATCCATTGTCTTGCCTCTTCTAGCTTCTGGAGGCCACCTGCATTGCTCAGCTCAGGTATTCTTCTGTCTTCAAAGTAACCTCCAACATAACATCTTATAGTCTCTCCTCTTCCTCCTCCTTCCGACCATTTTCTCTCCTCATTAAAGGCCCTTGTAAGTGCACTGGCTTACTCAAATAATCCAAGAAATCTTCCTTGTTTATGATCCTTAAATTAGCCATGCTTGCAGGGTACCTTTTTTCCTGTAAAGTCACATAGTCACAGGTTTCTTTTTTTTTGGGGGGGGGGAGTCTGGTCGTGGGGCCTGAACTCTGAGCATGGGTGCTGCCCCTCAGCTCTTCAGCTCAAGGCTAGCGCTCCGGCTTTTTTCTTTTTGCTTATGTGGTGCTGAGGAATCGAACCCAGGGCCTTGAGCATGCAAGGCAAGTGCTCTACCACTGAGCCACCTTCTCAGCCCCCAGTCACAGGTTTCTGAGATTAGTACATACCCATTTCAGGGGTGAGGGGACGGCCTCTATATACTTCTTCAGTGTTAGAGGGCACCTCTTCAGGGTTTTGTATTTAGCTCACACAAAGCAGGTATTTCCTTATAAATTAAGTTGAATTATAACTATCTATAAGCCCACATAACTAAAAATATTTGGTTTAATAAGCATCACTGAGAAAATGAACAAAGTAAGGATAATGAGTCTTTATGATACTGCATAGAAACTGTCAAAGGAAGCCATTTCCAGAGGTTTCCAGAATCTCTTGCTGCAGGAAGCTTGCAACCAAAGGGTAAAAGTCTAACTTCCTAGGCATCAGCCGAACAGGAATTTTTTTTGCCAGTCCTGGGGCTTAAACTCAGGGCCTGGGCACTGTCCCTGAGCTTTTTTTGCTCAAGGCTAGCACTCTACCACTTGAGCCACAGCACCACTTCCAACTTTTTCTGTTTATGCAGTACTGAGGAATAGAACCCAAGGCTTCATGCATGCTAGACAAGCACTCTACCACTCTACCATTAAGCCACTTTCCCAGTCCAGAACAAGGAATTTTTTTAATAATTAATTTCAAGTAATCAATTCTTAACTAAATTTAAATTAATTAAGTTAATTTATTTTGATGAATTTTTAAAAAATCACACAAAAGCAAAAACCCAGACATACTTAGTGGCACCTATAAAGTAAAAACTTGGGGACGACTTAAATATCCCTAATAGAAATGGACGATGGGTTAAATAAATTAAATATTATAGCACATACATACAATTGCATTTTAATGCAACTGTCATTAAAATTACCCAGCTATACACTTACTGCTGTGGAAAATTTGTCTTTGATATGTTATTGGATGGGAAAGCACACTAGAGAATAGTGTCTTTATTATGAGCCTATTTATAACATCAGATATTTTCAGAGCATATATGTTTCATAGATAACTCCTTGCCAGATGTTAATGAATTTCTACTGGAGCTATGGCATTTGCATGACCTTTACTTCCTTTACATTTTTATGCATTTGAAACTTTTAAACTGAGTATGTATCATTTTTATTATCAACAAGGAATATAGATAATTTTATTTTGGAAATAAATAGTCCTTCTTTACCTTTCTGCATTTTTCCTTGGCTCTTTGTTCTGTTGTGGCCTTCAAAACAATTAGAAACTAATCATAATGAATCTATTCCATTGTACTTTATTGGTTGTATCTTCCAATCTACTAGTTAATGTTACTGAATGGATTTGATTGGTATCCCTATGGTTAGTGTTGAAAAGACATGTGGAAATGCAAACCCAAGAGAGAAAAGTCAGATAAGGTGAAATACAGGAGAGTAGACAACAGATCACAGTATATTAACAGGGGATTTTATAATTGAATATTAATTGATTTGTTACCATCTTAAGAAAAACTGCCGTTAAGATTTAGGCTTACAAATCTGTGCTTGAAGGAGTTACCTACAGCTTAGCGAAAAGATCTTTGGGGAGATAAAGTTGCACCATAAAGTATTGAATCCCCAGACTTGTGCTCCAGTATCTGTTTTTAGCCTATATAAAAATTTAACTTGCTGAATTTAGTAGACTCTAGGCTGCACTTATCAGGCAGAAATAAAACTTGCAACAGGATGAGAGAATGTGACTGAATATAGTGTCTTTCTGTAGCAGGTAGAGACAGGACCTATGTAACAATGCTAACGGGATCCACAGCGATGCATTAATTACAAAGGGAAACAGCAAAGTATACTCCAGGGTAAAATACCAAACCTAATGAGTTCTATCTGGAGGGACTATTTTGTGGACATAACTAAGTTACACAGTGTGTAAATATGATCAAAACACTTCCAAGGCAAATCCAGCTAAAACATTAATGACAGTTTTAAGAGCATAACGTCATACCAATTATATGACATGATATCCAGTTAATGTATTGGTGCTATTTTGTGTCTCCTGGAAGGGAAATGCTGGGTTATACTAACTGTACCATCACTGCAAAGCTTTCAGCAAGATGCCAGTTCGAAATCAAGAGCATTACAGTCCAGAGCCAGCCTGGGCAAAATATTCCAGAGACCTCCACCTTAAACAATATACAGCTGGATGTGGCAGTGAGTGACTATCATCCCAGCTACTTGGGAAGTATAAATGGGAGAATGGTAGTCCAGACTGAGCTGGGCAAAAATCTGAGATCTTGCTTGAGAAATAACTAATGAATAAAAGGTGATTGGTGTAGCTCAAGCACTGGAGTACTTTCCTAACAAGCACAAGGTCCCTGAGTTCAAATCACAGCACTTAACTTTTTCCTCCCCCTAAAACAAAAAGACATCCTTTCGCCGGGCGCTGGTGGCTCACGCCTGTAATCCTAGCTACTCAGGAGGCTGAGATCTGAGGATCACGGTTCAAAGCCAGCCCGGGCAGGAGAGACCATGAGACTCCTATCTCCAATAAACCACCAGAAAACCGGAAGTGGCGCTGTAGCTCAAGTGGTAGAGCGCTCGCCTTGAGCTGAAGAG